TAAATAGCCATGTTTCTGTGTTTACAGATGATACAAAAATTGGGAGGGTAATAGACAAGGGCTTGGACATTTTAACATACAGGAGAACCTGGATAAAATAAGGCAGTGGGCAACTACATGGCAGATGAGGTTTAAAAACCCTCATCACATCCCTGTCTGCTTTAAACCCAGCAATACACTGAGGCAACAACGGGTTCACCCAAAAGACAGAACACCAAAACACACGATGAACAACATTGTGTATGCAGTCCAGTGCAGTGAGAAGTGCTCAGAATTGTATGTCGGTGAAACAAAACAGCAGCTACACCAGCGTATGGCACAGCATAGAAGAGCAAAACCCTCTGGGCAGGATTCGGCAGTATACCTACATCTAAAGGAAAAAGGTCACTCCTTTGAAGACAGTCAAGTACGCATCCTAGACAGGGAGGAGGAATGGTTTAACCACCTTCCGTCCATGGCCGTTAAGACAGGGCATCAGGACAGAAAGGGTTAGAAAAGGGGGGTGTACAGGGGGTGGTCTCTTACCTTTGTTTGGCCAATTAGGTGTGTCAGGAGTAGTCTCCCTGGTGGTCCGAGAGGGGCCGGAGGGTCAGCCAGCAGTTCAGGGTTGCCACACGTTGAGATCAGTTCCCACCCTCCCTCGTCTCGTTTGTTGTTGAGGTCACGTTATCTGTGGTGCTGGTGTGGTGTCGTCTGTTATGGCGACTTAGGTCGGGCTGGTCATGACTCCGGTTGGGTGCGTCCGTGGTACGCAGTGCTGGTAGCTTGCAGGTCCCGCAGGAGTGAGGTCAAAAGACTGAGGGTAGGAGCTCTCTGAGGTTTATGTACTATCTTGTCCCTGAGACGGTGAGTTGCGGCTAGGGGCCAGTTGGTTAAGTGGTATGCAGAGCTCTACGGTAGGAGACCAAGGGTGTCTTCACAGACCTCAGCCACATTGAGAGGAATACATTGTATTTAAACTGTTATGGTTGAATGTTTTATATTCAGTTTGTTATAAAGTTATTATATTTAAATAAACAGCTGCTACAGCCATTTTATATCCAACTTGGTGTGGTCTATTATTGGGTACGGGTATTTAGAATGGGATAGGGCTGTAGTAAGCTATGTTAATAGTATAGCTTATGTCTTACCCTGTCAAGTCCAGTTGCCTTGACTCATTTTTTTACAGATATACCATGACCTGGATCAGGGCCATCTTTAATACTGATTGGACCCTGGGCAAACATTTTCTAGGGCCCCAACTTCTACCCACCCCGTCCCCCTAACCAACCCCGCCCCCTGCCATGCAATTTCGCCCATGTATATGCCTATATGACAGGGGCGGAGCAACAGTATGCAATACCAATCGCACAGTAAACAGAAGAGTGGCCCGGGTGTATCTTTTGCGGGCTCCAGGGCAGGGCCGGTGCAAGGATTATTGTGTACACAGCTGAGGTTGCACCCCCTCTTCCCCCCCCGGTGCCCTCAGACGACTGTCTATGCAGACTTACACTAGCACTAACTAGCGTGTAGTGTCCCTCATCATATGTACATGGAATCATGTAGTGACCCCCATCACATACAGACAAGCAGCATGTAGTGACCCCCATCACATACAAGCAGCCTAGTGACCCCTCTCTCTGGACGTTTAGTGTTCCCTAATACACAAATGCACATTCCAGCACACACATACACACAGCATGGAGGGGGAGGTCACCAGCTCTGCGATTATCTAGCGCTCTGCTGTCAGTGCTGAGATGCAGGGCCAGTGGTAGAAGTTTTGCAGCACAGGACCTGCTCAAGGGGCAACTGCTTTGGGCCCCACAACAATGACTGGGCCCTGGGCAGCTGCCCCTTGTGCCCTGCGTTAAAGACAGCCCTGACCTGGATGAATGAGAACCTTCACAGACACTTTAGAGATGACTGGTTCGGCCTCATCTTGAGTATGTGGTTCAGTTTTGGTCACCAGTCCACATTTAGGATGTTCTTGAGCAAGCGAGAGTCCAAAAAAGGGTAACTAAACTAATTAAGGGCCTGCAGGACCAAAGCTACCAAAGAACAAGCTAAATGTAAACTTGTTCACGCTAGCAGTGAGAAGATTGAGAGGGGAAATGTTTTTGATGCACAAAAGGTTCAGTGGCAATGGCAACATCATCAATAAACATCTTTACAGTAAACTCCCTAACGAAGACTAGAAGCCACCACCTAAAATTGGTGGAGAAAAGATGTAACCATAAAGGGCATAGGGTTTTCTTTTCAGTCAGAGTGGTTACATTTTGGAAGTCTCTGCCACAAGCAGTGGTACCAGCCGAGAGTATTGAATCATTAAAATATAATTTAGATACCTTCCTCAGAGACTGTAACATACCGGGGTACAGGCACTCTTAAAAACTAGACCACACAGACATACACACACACACTCATGCACAATCACACACAGACACACAAAGGTTGTACTTGATGGATCTGTGTCTTTATTCAACCTCACATACTATGTAACTATGTAACTATAACTATGGCTGCCTGATATAGTGGCTGCACTGCACCTTGGTTTCTAAGGCATCCCTGTTATTCTTTGTGACATGTGGAATTTTCACCAGCCTTGTGTGAACTATACTGCTTGTCACTTGTGATGGTTTCTCACCCCCACACAGTCTGTCTTTCATGACCCAGATTCACGCATGTGCTCTACAGACCCTGTAAGTACACTGTCAACCCATATCCTGTGTTCCTTCTGTCACCATCCCACTGTGGGAACTCGGCCATTGTCCTACCTGGTGTCTGTTACTTTGTTTTCAGTGTGCAGTATCATGGCCACTTTAAGCCTCCCACCCATGTCATCAATCTTTCTGTCTGTCATCTATGTCTACCTTGCCTCTTATTTCCTGCAGGTCTCTTTTTCTCCCACTGTCTTCTCTTTCTCATGTCTCCCTCCCGTGTGTTTTCTATCTCTCCCCATCTCTGACTCTCCTCTCTGTGTTTCATTATCTCTCTCTTTAGCTGGTACGCAGGCATGCCAGTGATGTGTTTAGTGCAGGCGGGGTAGTGAAATTAGTCATACAGGGAAAGGGTTAACAAGTCGATCTACTACTTGTATTAGTAATAATAATAATATTAATAATGCTATCTTCATTAGATCATGTACTGTGCCAGCTTACCATTCACTGTACCTGTACTGTGCTTTCTACCCTCAGCAGACACTATACTGTGCCAGCTTATCCTACGTTGGGGTGGGGGTAACCCTGTCAGGTAGGATGTATAGGGCCCTCTGATTTCTAATAGATCCGCTTCAGCTGCGGCGTCTCAGTATACGGCGAGAAGCAGTTCGCGGTATACCGTGTTTCCCCGAAAATAAGACAGTGTCTTATATTTTTTTTTCTACGAAAAAAGACACTAGGTCTTATTTTCGGGGGATGTCTTACCTGGCTGCAGCTGTCCGCTCTGCCTTCCAGGGAGCAAGGGAAACGCGGTACTGCGGCATCTCAGTATACCGAGAGCTACAGCTCGGGGTATACTGAGCCTAGGGTGATGGGAGGACGCTAGTTTGTGTCCTCCCGTTACCCTAAGTAGAACTATGGGGAAAAGCCTTAACCCCATAGTTCTACTTTAAGGACATATATAGCCAAACATATTTATAATTTTAAAAAAGGGTGTAAGGGCTGATGCATACAGGCAGCTAAGCCAATTTGGTTAGTTATTCGGATTTCGTAAACGTACGAATTTTCTTTTCAGAAAGATCCACAACAGGAAGTCAAATGAACGTACCTGTACCTGTAATGCAACCCCTACCAGCCAAAAAAAAAAATCTGATTGGCCAGACAACAGTCACATGTCCAATTAGTTGCATTTTTAACGAAATTTGAACAGATCCAAGGAACATTCGGATTTGTTTGCATTCAAATGTGATCGAATTCGGAAATTCGAATGTCCAAATTTAACGAAATTCGTATGAATATCTGTTCGTAACAAATTGAAATTTACATGTAATGTGATGTTTTAATAATAATTTTGATGGGTTGGGGCACTAGAGGAACAGATGTCATTTTTTTCTCGACTGAATGAACGAAATTCTATCAGTGAATGTGGTTTGGGAAAATCCATTAATTTCTAAAATTGAATGTTAAAGCCAAATAAAATTTCAAATTACATTCGTCAAGTCTTTGATGTTTTTTTTATATGGACGGTTGTGTCAAAATCCACCAGTGCTGGTCTTGTTTATAACACATGATGTTGTTTACAACACAGCCCATAGCAATAAAAGTCTATTTTTATATTATAATAATAAATCATAATAGTACTATGTCCTCATGCCATTTTGTATGGAGATGTGTACAGTTTGTCAAGATTTCTGATATTCTTACTCTGATCTTACTGATGTCTATTGTTGATTGACATTGTATGTCCCTGTATGTTTTTCTTTTAAAACTTAATAAATCCTTATTAATAAATGTAATTAGCTGCTATGCTATGGCAGAGGGACAGCATTCAGCCTGGTGGGCAGACAAAACTGTGGGATCTCAGCCTGCCTATAGAAACGTATTGGTGTGGGCTATGATGCTAGGCCAGCAGGCTGTGGTGAGGCTGCAGGTGAGTCCTCAGTGTGATTACAGCATACTCTCTCCTCCACAAGGGGAATCCTGCAGTGACTGGAGCCAGTGACGTACAAGGAGCTGCCACAAAGGCGCACACCGAACACAGCTCTATAGTGAGGAGGAGAAGCTGCCTGGCCACCACAGTGAGAAACAACTCTTTTGTTTTACACATGAACATGTATGTGTCGATCATTTCAAATATCTGTGTTTGATTGGAAGGCTGTCCCATATATTTAGCATTTTTGGCTATACGATTGTAAAGCACAGCTTCTGAGATGACAAAATGGGGAAAAAAGCTAAATTTAGAAAACTGCCAGAGGGCAGAATGCATAAAATCACTGGGATCCGTTAGCCCAGGCATCGTCAGTGAAAGATGGCTAACAGAACAGAGCGAGGTAGAAGCAAATAAGGAGCCTTTGTTATCTGATGCATGGAGGTGATGGAAGGGATTTGTTCCTGTGCTGACAGGCTGCGATGCTATTTCTGTGATGGGGTGAAGTGAGCGTGGGTGCGAACAGTGTGTTTCTATAGTGAATCAATTAGAACAGCAGTCAAGCGCAGGAGCTGCCATGAGCAAATTCCTTTTGGCATTTTCTTTCTATTTCCTTCACCTCATTTGTCTTGTAAGCCGCGCTTCTTTCTAGCAGGCTCACTTGTGGTGTCATTGGTGATCTGGCTGTCCATAATGTTCCCCGCTGGTAAGTTGTGGCTATGCACAGTGCCAATTCTTCCATGTATTCGGAATCTGGGCTGGGGCAATCGGATACTCCCATTGCTTTTGTAGCAGGATGAAGTGACAGATGGACTTCTCCTATCTCTAGCACAATAATCTACATCATGAAAGAACACAATCTCAAGAATGGGCTTGAGACGCTGCATTAGCAAAGATTTTCTTTCAAATCCCTGCTTTCTGGGCATATCACAAACAGGCTGAATGATATTTCGGATTTTTACTGCTTCTATCTGCGTAATATGTAACATATCATGCAAAGGATAATTAGCTGCTGTATTGATTGCAGCCTGTGCCGTAATTGTGTCAACACGCTTAATATTTCATATCTAGGTCACTGTGCAGTCGCTTCAGTTTCAAAGTCTAACGCACTTCCTAATTCTTCTATGTATTTGCAGTTCATTTTCCGTGGGTGGTATGTCAGTGTTGATAGAAGAGCCAGAAAGAAGGATACAAGGATTTCTTGAAAAGGATTACTTCGCTCTGGAGTACAGCTATCCAAGTCTGTATTCTATAATACAGACACAAAGAACTGGTGAGTTGCAGCAGTGACAGTAGTTTGATAATAATGGCTTATTATATCCAGAAGCTTAAGCATCACGTTTTATATTTACCTACTAGCTCATGTCTACTGAAAGGATTTCCCTTGCAAGCTTTTATATGGCCTGTTTGCGGGCTTGATGATTTTTACGAGCTCTGCTAGCATATTTAGTGGGAAACAGGCGATGGAAATTAATATTGCCATCTACCTACTCCATAGTGTACACTGAGGTACAGTAAACAGCCAGATTTATTGTAATAAGGGTCCATTTTCAATTCAAAGCAAAATATGTTTGGTGAAGAAAATGTTTAGCGAACATATTTACATCATTATTAGGCTTATTTAGTACATTTCCCAATAACTCATAGCAACCAAACATAAATGATCTTCCAGGTATCTGACTTACACATTTCAGACTAAACTGAAAGCTGATTGGTTGCTATAGGTTACTGCAATTTGCACATGTAAGTCCCTCATGGTGTCTTCTGAATAATTCTGCAAATGTATACCTGGCAGTTATTCACTAAGAAACAAAAACTGGGGCACGGTTGCCTTGTGTGTCGGTCTCCCTGGGGCATGACTCTTTGTGCATCGCTTATAGAAATTTCTGGAGCTACATGTATGACAAAGCATGCTCGTTTGTCGGTTTGAGGCACTGCCTTGATTTTTATAAACAAGAGCATAAATCACTTGAGCATGCATGGATTGCCTGCCCATAGCAACCAATGTGGTAAATCTTACCAATGATTCAAGGAATTTAATTGGACAACAACTCCACCTCCGATTCATTTCCTTTACATCAGTTTTTATAAATCAACCATGACATGCTTGGTAAGGGAAGATGAGTCAGTGTAAAGCGCTTATTATAGAGCTGTGAACGATTGGTGAACCATGTGTGATAAAAAGAAATGGATTGGATTGGATTGCAGATGATGTTGGTCGGTTACAACTAGGTTTCCACGTACTTGTGTATCTGTCGGTTGCTTTCACTTTCCCTTTTAGAAACTGAGTGATGCACACTGGCTGATGAATGCTCTGACAAGGTATATTACCAGCACAAATTGAATAAAATAACTGGAAAAAAAATCCCTTTTCAGTAACTGACATCAAGTGTATTTAAATCCAAGAACAAACATGTAATATATTGCAGCTTACCAGTCCTTAAATGTGGTGGCTGCATTAGTTTTCTTTTTTTAGGCTCCCCCCCCCCCCCTTTTTTTTCCCCTAACCCCTACGCTTCTTGGGTAATAATGTAGGGTAATAATTGGGTGATAATGCACGTACCAAATAAATAACATTAATATTTAGGCAGCACAGTCATTTGAAATGCACCACAAAATTGAACCTACGGTATTTTTTTCCTATAAGTAGCTTATGGGAAGCAGTGTAAAGCTGCTTATTCAGTATCCAGTAACCAGGTAGGCAATACCAGGAATGGGCTGCAATAGCAAATATTGGTGCCACCTTCCTGAACGTGCACCACAACAGGGGTTTGTGAATAACAAAGGAGGTTGGACAGTTTTACACAGATCTGTGCAGGTAAAACAGTTCACATATATGTTTTCTGACATACTAGCATGTTTTCTTAAAGGAGAACTATGACATGAGTGATTTCCACTCACCTCATAGTTCTAAGCCGACCTGTGACAATGAGACTGTCACAGGTCGGCTCAGTAGATCGGGAGGTGAGAAAACACATACCGGGTTCCCTCACCTCTCGATCCTGTCACGGCTCTCTGCCGTGACAGGGGGAGGGGCTGGATTCCCCTCTCCCCGCTCCGATCTGCCAGCGCTGACTGGCGGAACGGACGGGGGAGGGGGCGGGTACAGCTGGCTCTGCCTCTAGATAGGCAGAGCCAGCTGTCACTCACGCAGCTGGGCGGATCCCGTCATCTAAGTCGGGATCCGCTCCAGGTGCGGCGTCTCAGTATACCGCGAGCTGTAGCTCGCGGTTTACTGAGCTTAGGGTAACGGGAGGACGCTAGTTTGTGTCCTCCCGTTACCCCAAGGAGAACTATGGGGAAAAACACTGACCCCATAGTTCTCCTTTAAGCCCTCTATTTAAACTACAGGTCAGTGGAGTAAGAGGGGGCTTTCTTTACTAATTCCATGAGTATTTTGTGATGACAGAAAATCAGATATTTTAACTTTTATAAGAAAGCCAAATGCTTGAGTAACTAATCCTTAAAGCCCAACTCCAGACAAAAACGGTCCACAATTAGGTTTTTAAAACAAGACAGTCAGCTCTGGCAGCAATATTTCTCTCTCCCTGGAGCTACCCCCACAATATATCCTTTCCACCACTAGATGCCTCAGTCATTTGGGTTAAATGACACCTAGAGGGTTATTCACAAAGCTGCCGAAGGCAGCCGAGTGAATAACCCAGCCGAAGTGAAGTGAGCCGAACACTGTTCGGCTATTCACTTCTGGCTTGTGAATAGGCTGAAATCAGCTGTACATCGGCTCTGTACTTCGGCTGAGCGGAAGTGCAGAGGGACTTCGACTCAGCCGAGCCATTCGGCATGGCTATTCTGCTCGGTACCTCCTCCGTGGTACAGAGAAGAATAGAAAATAAGAGAAAAGAGTGAAAAAAAAAAAGGTTGAAAAATAATTTTGAAAATGATCAAAAGTAGGAAAAGTAAAAAATAAATAGATATTTTAAAGAAGAAAGAAAAAAGAAAAACAATTGGGCGGAGCTAGCAGTGACAGCTAGCTCCACCCAACGGTTTTCTATTGGCCGGCACCTGCTAGAGTCTTCTATCAGGTCCCGGACAATGAATAACAACTGGGCGGAGCCGGCCGTGACGTTGGTTGTTATTGTTTAATGACAGACTACTGTCCCCAGGTCATTTGGGGGCGCTGATCTGTCATGACAACTGAGCTGGCTGTGCCCAGCTGTTATTTGCGGGGCGAACGGCCGGAGGTTCGGCTGTCACTTTGGCTCAGCTGAGCCGCTTGGCCGCCTTCAACTGCTGTATGGGCTATTGTGAATAGTCCTTACAGCAGCCCTTTGGTTTAACTAACCCAAAGGGTTTCGGCGGCCGAAGAGAGCCGAAGGATCAGCCGAAGCTATGGCTGTATCCTTCGGCTCAAGAGTGAATAACCCCCCTAATGTTATTCAAGCGGGTACACTGATTAGATCCTGTGGGTACAGGACATCCCCTGAGGGGTGTCACAAAGTGCCCTGGATTCACATAAAATGGTGCTGAGAGCTGTTCTGATGTCATCACATCAGCACTCATCTCTGCATCATTGAGGACTGCCCTCTGCCAAAGAAGATCTGATTACCCTGTATGTCATGTCGCCAGCCTGAAGTCCTCTGAAAAAGGGTAAAGTTTGTGGAGGAGGTAATGGATTTGGTGGTAGAGGATGGACTGGATATGGACTTTAAAAATCGGGTGGATATAAGACCAGTTACCCTGCACTAGGAGAGAGAGCAGCAGTCACAGGAAGCAAAGTTTCAGGGCTTGTTCACACCATCTAGTGCATTCAGGGCATGGCTCTGTGCCATGAACAGACAGGATCGTATAAACAAAGGCTCCCCGTGTTCTGGGGTGGGAGGGGGTGTGGTGGTGCCATTAATTCCAATGGCACTGCAGATGCCATGCGTTCCAGTGTGGTGCGATCACACTGAGGCATGACGGTGGTGCCATTCACATGAATGGCACCACCACGTCCCCTCACACCCCAGAACGCGGGGAGCCTTTGTTTATGCGATCCAGTGCGTTCATGGTACGGATCCATGCCTTGATCGCATTGGATGGTGTGAGCAGGCCCTCACACCAGATTACTGTACAGATCTGGACGCATTGGATGGTGTGAACAGGCCCTTACACCGGATTACTGCACAGATCTGGAAGAAATACATAAAGCACACGACTCAAGTAAGAATACACTTACCTTTGCATTTAGACAATAAGTATTTTGCCTGTAATTCAGCTTTAAAGCCTCATAAACACTGGCAATGACACATATGCATTTATATGGTGTATATTGGTTTGTAGGACATTTCTAAATGCATATAAATGCATGCAATGGTTTTAAGTGTTATAATGCATACTGTGCATTTACCTGTGTTTAGGTGTATTCTGATTAACTCTGTGTAAAGAAAATAGAAATACTGTACTTGCAATCAGGAGTGGATTGGAATAGATACTCTGAACTTGTCTAAACGCAAATAAATGCAAGTGAATCCATATACATGGAAGAACATTTAAACGCGGGAGAACATGACCTGAAATGGCCAGAGGAAGTAGCAGCCACAACAGATTATTATTACTATAATAACAGTGTCAACATTTTTCGCAGTGCTTTACAATATAAGGAAGACATTACAGTTACAATACAATTCAAGACAAAATGGTTTGGAGGGCCCTGCCCGTGAGAGCTGACCATCGAAAAGAGAGGGGCAAGTGATACAAAAGGTGGTAGCTGTGTGGGAATGAGTTGTTTGAGAAAGTAATAGTTCAGTGGTTATGTTGAGGTAGAATAGGCTTTCCTGAAGAGATAGGTCTTCAGGGCTAAAAGGCAGTGGTGGACCTAATAACCAAAGGGCCCTGGTGCAAGATTTTATCTTGGGCCCCCATCCCAAGACGGGGGGAGGGGCGCGGGAGCGGATCATACTGGCCCCGGAACCCCCTGCGGTCTCTAATGTTGCAGTAGCCTGCTGGACTTACCTGAGACCCTGCAGAACACAACATAGATCCTGCATAGCCCACCTGAGACTCTCTATGGTGTGCTCTGCAGGGTCCCAGGTGGGCTGGTCGCCGGGGTCCCTTTTCCTGTACCTCCTCCCAACTCATCTTACCTGCTGCTGCTGGGGCCCGGCCTCCTCCACCCCATCCCCCGTCAACTCTGCCATGCCGCCCCTGGTACAGCTGATATCCATGTAAGAGGCCCCCCAGGCTGCCCAGACCCCTCACATGGGTACCAGCTGTACCCCCCCTGATGGCGGTGTTCTGTCAAAAGTTGTGACTACGTTAGAATGTGTGGCC